CTTCTCATTAATCTTAACGCTAAGTACAGTAATTTCGACTACAACAAGTATTCAGACACTGGACAAGGCAAAGAGTAGAATAATTGAATCGGTAATGGAAAGCAGATTGATATTTAAATTTAATGCATCGGATTTGCATATTTCGCCCAATGTGTCTCAATAAACGCAGCTTTCATAGATTGAAGTATTTGGATTTGAAATAAAATCGAAGATATTCGATACGATTTTTAGCGAACAGGTATCACAGTTTATTATTACTATAATGAATTCGATTATCTTTAGCAGCCCTATACTTATGGTCAACTGCGAGATTAAGCTCGGGTTATTTAATATCGATCCCACGTGTATATTAAAATTAAATGGAGCTTCATTTACATTAAGATGAATATGCAATGATCGACGTAATGCAAATTGTCAGCGTCTCAATTGTTTTGTATTCAATCGAAATATAATCAGCCTACCTTAAAGTCAAATCTTTGTAATAGAATAATTGTAATTTGTCTGTGAGTTGAATATTACTGCCACCTCTGCTCTGGTGCTTCTGTTATGTATCTAGAGATTCTATACAAAATCCAAAGAATGATCTGAAATATTGGCGGTCCTAACTTGGCATTTCGGCTTCAGCCAATTTCCCACCGCCGTAAAGTATCTTGCCTGCGCCTTTTCTATTAGTAATCCCATGGCAATTGCTGTGATGAGCCTTCGTTTTCGTTACATCGAATTCTTGATTTTAAGCGTAGTACTAAACTGGAATCTAGATTTCATCATTTTACTGTTGAAATTACTTGGTGAAACCGTATGTTCTAGTTTATAGTTTTCTTCTATCTCACACACACAGATTTATCGCTCGTAAAAAATGTCGTCCGGCTTCTTTCTTGCCTGTCAACTACGATTTTCAAAAATTGAAATTAACCTTCAGTCGTCAGCTGTCTTTTTAATACAATTCTTTTATTGTACTTTCTTGCTAATGGCGTTTCTTTCACTCTCAGTCATGCCCCAACCCTTGCGTCTTAGTGGCTTTATTGCCTTGGTTAGGGAGAAATGCTAAAAAAAACAGAGCAAAAAGAGAAAAGCAGAAAGCAGACACATACTTTTTTCTTTTATCACTGGCTACACTTGGTAATATGTATTTATAAAGTAAAAAGTGATAATAATAATAATAATAATCGGCTTACATGCAATTTAATGCTCTGATTCAACGCAAATAAAAAAATCTAGTTACAATATTTTACTTTTCTGAATTAACAAAAAAGAAAAGAAAATCCTATGAAATAATTGATGCCCCAGATTGTTTTTCTTGTTCATAAAATATTCATGTCCTCACTGGGTGCTCCACACTTCCGACTTTGTGCCATAAGTAAGCTAGACATAGAAAATTGTTTATGGCACGTCGACGTATCGTAATTGTTAGCTACCTTGCCTCGCTAAGTGAATTACGACTGAGTGGTGAGTTCGATTCTCACTGGGTGCCACATACATTCGGCCTTATGCCACATCTAAACTACACTTGAACAATCACCATAACATATTCATATCTGTATTTTCTAATACATTAATGTATTTACACTGATACACTGAAAAAAATCCCTGATAAATTGAAATTTTCGGACATTTTCTCATCTTTGATTTCTTTAAGAAAAATATAACAGGTATACCTCAAATATTAACTTCCTCAAGAATAAAAGCTCCAACGAAAATGTCTCATTGACATCGAATACTTTGAACGTATAGAGGCTATTGAAAATAGAAACATATTTGGGCCTACTTAGTGGTACATGGTTTAAGTGGTGCATTTATAATCAGGGTCACTGTTTAGTGATAGAACCCAGTTAATAGCACTATGAAATCTGATGTTCAAGCAAGGTATTTAGGTAACACCTTCACATTTGGAAAATAGATGCTTGTAATTTTCCATGACACCTTTTCCGTGTGCTGTACGAAACAAATTGTGCAAATATCAATATACAGAGGTTGGACAAAATAATTGAAACAATTGCAAAATAGACTAATCAAAAAAGACCTTTAACTAAAACTTCGTAACTGCAGGTTATATCTATTGTAAATACGTTTATTTATCTAATGTACCGTCTTTGTCTTATTCATTTTCAGAGTTTAGTAAAATTTAATCTAAATGCGTGACCTCTCCGAGTTCGAAAAAGAGCAAATTATTGGAGCTCGCATGGCAGGAGCCTCGATCACTAAGGTTGCTGAACTGTTTGGTTTTTCAAGAGCTACCATATCAAGAACACTGATGCAATTCGAGAAACAGGGCAAGACCTCTAGCAACCGTAGCAATTCGGTCCGGACATGCATTGAAACGCAATATGGCAAAAATCATCGGCCAAATGCGGCCAAAGTGACTGCTGAATTCAATAACCATCTGAATAGTTCAGTTTCTACTAAAACTGTTCACCGTGAGCTCTATAAGGCTGCATATCATGGAAGAGCGGCTGTGAGGAAACCTCTTCTCTCCACTCGCAACATTCAAAAGAGGTTGAAGTGGTGCAGAGATCACAATGAAAGCAAGTCATATTCTCAAAGAAGTCCAGTTTTTCTCTTTTCCCAACTTCAGGGCGAGTTTGTGTGGAGGCAGCCCAAAGAAGCATACAACCCTGACTGCCTTCTTCCAAAAGTGAAGCATAGAGGTGGATCAGTGATAGTTTGGGCCGCCATATCATGGAAATGTCTCAGTCCAATAGTTGCTCTGCATGGTAGAATCAACAGCAAAGATTACCTGAACATTTTGGGAGATCATGTTCATCCATTGGCCAAGACTTTATTCGCTAATGGTGACTGCATTTCCAAGACGATAATGCTCTAATACATACCGCTCGAGTGGTTAAGAATTGGTATGAAGAGCATGAAAGTGAGCTAGAACACATGGAGTGGCCTCCTCAATCTCAAGATATCAATATCATTGGAAATTTGCGGTGCATTTTGGAGCAACAAGTTAGGAGCCGCTATCCCCCACCGTCGTGTTGTAAAGAGCTGGAGAAGGTTTTAATGGAAGAATGACTGAAAATTCCTCTGGATGAAGTCAGGAAGCTGTATGATTCCATTCCTAGACGTATTAAAGCTGTTTGTGAGGCTAAAGGAGGACCAACTCCATATTAAATAATTTTTCTTTGAATTTAACAAGTGTTCTAATTATTTTGTCCAACCCCTGTATATCTTAAAATCTATGAAGGTGATTAGAAATTAATCACTTTTGGAATTCATTTTTCTTTTCCAGTCCTTAGCGACGTGAAAAACAGGACCACAGTCTCAACACGTTCTTGTTTCTGCTGTAGCTTGCGTAGTAAGTAGGCTTTTACAGAGTGACATTGCTAGCATTACACCCAACCGGTTTGGGATTCAAATCTGTCCTTCTCCTAGGATTGTGATACATTCCTCCTCCTGTTATGTAGCTAATAGCTGGTGGCGGAGGCAAGTGGGGATAAATGGATTCATAACTTCCTATCTGTGCGAAAGTGAAAGCGACGACCTCGGCCGTAGTTTTAATTTGCCATGACGATCCCACTTGCCACAATAGTAACTGCTATGCGATGCGCATATTTTCTGGAATTGAAATTCACAAAATACCATTAAAATCTCTCAAGGGTGCCGATGCATTTACAATCACTTGAGATAAAAAAAACAAAAACAAAAAAACTATGAAACGTGTTGAAGGTATTAATATCTGTCAAATTTATGTACCGTGTTAGTTAGCTGTCCTGACTTACTAGGTTAAAGCGTCATCCATAAAAGATAATTTTCTAGAATATGGAAAAAAAAAAAAAAAAAAAAAAATAAAATATCACTGGAATCTACGTTCTTTTTTGACAATGTATGTGAACTTAAAATCAGAGATATATTTTTTACTAAATTTTCCTCTAATACAAGGCCCAAGTGCCTCTCATTGCAGAGGGTTATTGAATAAGGTTGTTGCATGGACGTTAGAGGAAGAAATAAGTGTAGTTTATGAGGATATGCAGAATTGAAAAAGGTTGACCCGACACTTGGCGGTGCAAACTTTGTATAGATCGAGGAAGCATCTTTTTGGGGAGTCTGTTCTACAAAGTAGCACTTCTTGAAAAGAACAAATGGAATTTACTCCCTATCAACGGAATAGGATAGGTTTGTCTATCGTCCGGTTCACCCTTCTCCCTGGTCTTCTGAACGGTTTATCTCTTGTTTCCTAATTAGCACTGGGTTTCAGGTTGCCTCTGAAGCTTTTTTCTTCGCTTTCACCTCTGTCGGTCCCTTGTATTTTGGTGGCAGTATCCCTTTGGTTGTTGTTGTTCCTCTTACTCTGTAGTTGTCTACCTCTTGGGCCTTACACAGGGTGAAAATTATTGTAAAAAAAAGATGAGGATAATTCGACCCTGTGTACGTTGAATGGCAGTTTCTAGCAAGTAATGGTTTGAACAGTGACTCGGGAATATAGCTCATCTGAACATTTTCCTTAGATATAGCGATAGAACAGCGAAAGGCTTGCGACTTTTCGTCTAGAGGCTGTAGGCTTTAAAATAATTATTCGCCGTTAAGGTTCTGTAAACGATTTTGAAGTCTGTCAAGGCAGGGATAGAAACAAGAGTACGTTGAAGAAGGTACACGCTCCTCACTAAATAATAACAAAATAAAAGGCCATTTTAAATTCTCCCAAAATTTACATTGGCATTCATTCAAAATGGTTAAAATGTTTTTAAATGCAAATTCTTCATTTTTATGAAATTCTCTCATACATTATACATTTACAGTAAACAGTTACTGATTCTAAAACAGTTATACATTAGATATTCTATACAATAAGCTCGTCAAATTAAATCAAAATATTTCATTTTCTACTGTCTAATCAACGGGAAAGCCATGAGATAAACAGAATAAAAGCTGTGCAGCCAACCGGAAAACAATAGCCAGTGTAACGATGTGACTTCAGTCGAACTGAAACAGTAATGTCTAACGATTTTGATATCAACTCGTGAGTTGCGCCGGCAGTTAAACTTTATTGATAAGCAGACAGATAATCGCGAGAAATTTCAATTGGATTCTTTGAATGGTAATTTGATGCCAGGTGAAACATTGATCGGACCAGTGAGCAGAGAATGGAAGGCGTTCAGCCTGGGAAAGAAACTGGTAGGTCATGAAATCAGGAAAAAATGACGGAAGAAAGAAAGTAAATGTTGAGCGAAAGAAATGAAAAAAAAAAAAAGGCAAAAAAGAAATTCTGAAGGCCGTAGAACGACATGTTGTAAATATTCAAGAACAACGAAAAAAAGGAGAGAGATACAAACTGAATGAAAGATGGACGTGGAGCCAGCAGAAAACGAAGAAGAACTGAGAAGAGATATGGAAGACCGTGAACTGAAACGACATAAACTAAAATTGGAATGAGGCGGAATTAAACGAAATGATACGGAGATTGCCGAGAATTCGTACCAGACGATGAGATTCATACGAGAAAATAGTAAATGTAGCCGTGACGTAAGAAAGAAAGAAAGAAGAAAGAAAAACAGAAAGACAGAAAAAAGGGAGAGAGATAGAGAGAACCAACTCGAAATAGAAGAGAAAGGGTTATAAAATAGAAGGGGCCGAGGATCTAAATAAGACGGTATAAACTGAGGATTGAGATTGAGATCGTAAGTGTGGGCTGAGGAACGAAACGAAAACGAGGGCAAACATTTGGAACGAAGCTAAGAGGAGCAAACGTTGCAAGAAGAAGTAAAAAGAATCAAGAGCAAGAAAGGAATGAAAGAGAAACTAAAACGAGAACGAGGCGGACAAGGCCGGAAAACAAAACCAAAGAATACCGAAAGAATTAGATAGAATGGTGTAAGATGGAATATGTAATAGAGAGGGCGAGAAGATTAAAACGAAAATTCAAGAATTGTAACGAGATGTAGAATACTCAACCAGAAGGGCGAAAGTTGAATTCAAGAAGATTGACGACCTAACGAAAATAGAGAATCACTTTCGCATAGGATAAGTAAATATTAATTTTAACATTACTTATGTTTAGGAGTTCATTTAATGGAAATCTTCATTTCCCTGTACATTACAGATTCGATTATTTATTATTTACAACACTATACCGCTTGAAGCGAAATGCTCGTGAGGAATTGACTATTATGCCGATTGCAAGAGGTGTACTGTAAATATTCCTAAAATTGTCCGCCGAAAAGAGTAATGGTTTTTTCCCAAATACTTTATTATAAAACCAAGATCATGAATCTTAAGCTTCAGAATATAAATACTATATTCGCTTTAATAATTTATTGTATTTCTTTATATTAAGCTATACCTTATGAAATATGTGATATGTAAATCTTTCGTATTAGAATAGTAATGTGCAATTGAATGATATATTAAAAAACATATCTGTGCTTTGTTTATACAAATGGTTTCTTCATATTAATAAACGTTTTATCGATGATGAATGTTCGAGAAATATCGTAAAAAATATGCCTTCTCTGACAGGAATCGAACCTAATTCTTATACGGTTCATTCAGGCCGTTAAATGTAATTAATAATGTTTAATTAAAAGCAGTGCATTTACTTAAATAGATTGTATCTGTAAAAATGACGTATAAACAGAAAATATATTAAATAATTGTCGAACTTAATCCATTTCATTATATGTTGTCATTGTTTACATTAACATGCATTTTATGAGCAAATATGGTCGAGAAAAAAATGTCGAAAATCGTGTGCTTAAAAACAGTAATTTGTACTTTGCTAACCAGATGCTTTTCTGTGCCTAAATGGTATAGCACATCAGATCAAATGACAGTTTCAGTATATGAATACAAGTTTGATACTTGTCGGAAAATGCATATTTTCTACGAAATTTTTCGAAAGTTTAAGGCGGGTAAATTTAATTAATACTGTCTAATTAAAACAGAACATTTACTTAAATAATGTAAAGTAAATTATATCTATAAAAAATAACGTATAAACGGAAAATATATTAAATAATTGTCGAATTTTATCTATTTCATTCCACACACACACACACACACACACACATATATATATATATATATATATATATATATATATCTATTTCATATATATATATATATATATATATATATATATATATATATGCATACATATATTAACTACATTGGGTTGATAAGCCGTAGAAAACGAATCAGCTAATCAATCAATAATGTCTATTTGTGACAAAAATGGATAATTTACGATAATCCTAAACGTTTGATTAACAAAGATTATCTGATTGATTTAAGATATTTTATAATAATCACACACTGTTTCTTCTTCTTCTTCATCATCATCATCATCATCAACATCCTCCTCCTCTTCCTCCTCCTCCCCTCCTTTACGTTTGTAATCATAAGGCGGGTCCAAATAATGAAACCACACAGAATCTCCAATGCAACAGTCTATCAACGGCAGCCATCAGCATTTCTGGTGTAATGATACTTGTCCATTATTTGACATTGTCCATCCAGTTGTTGTGTTGGCACCCCTTCAATACTGCCTTGCATGATGTTCTTTCACAGGCTGTCGTGCCATGAGGCTTGACCTGATCACTAAAGATAGTTTTTCAATACACGATATATAAACTAATCTGTCCGTTATTATACTTTTAAAATCTTAGATGCCGAATACATCTAATAAATATATGTTCAATCATTTGCATGTCGTTCTTACGTTTCTCTCTCTGTGTGCCGTCAAAGAGTGGTTCAAGCAATTAATCACTGTCATACAGAGTAGGAGATGATCATAACTATGCTGGTGAGTTTTCTGTCCATGCTCGGACGCACAGCGAGTGGAATAGTATTCAGACTAAATGTAATGGCGTCCCTTTCACCGTAGCAAGCCTTCATTTCATCGACTCATTAAATTCACCGAAGAGGAAAAATAAGATTGAGGATCGTGGTGGAATTACCAGAGAACCAGTGAAAAAATTGTCCCGAAACTGGCAAAGAGGGAAAATTGAGACTGCAGAAAAGGAATATATATATATTAAATTCATCGCGTCTAAAAGAATAGACTATCACTAATATACGCACACAACCTCCCATATATATATATATATATATATATATATATATATATATATATATATATATTGAAATGGATTAAATCCAATAACTATCTAATATATTTTCTGTTTTTCTCGAACATTCAGGCCGGTAAATGTAATTAATACTGTTTAATTTTTTAAAAAAAAAAAAAGACCGTTAACTGAAATCTCTTAAATAAGTTGAATTTATTAAAGAAACATAAACAGAATGAATATATATATATATATATATATATATATATATATTATTTTATTAATTGATTTAAAATTTATTATAAATTAATTGATTAAAATATGTTTTTTTCCCGCTACACAGTTCTAACCATGTTTCAAAAATGGAAGTTAAAAGCCACGAATTTAATTTTGCAATTAAATTAAAGACATTAGTTCCATTTTATCCTTAAGCGAATTTTGGAGTAACTTTAAAATTACTGGGTTTTAAAGACACAGCTAAATATATCTTACTGTTCTTTCTTTTTTTATATATACATATATATATATATATATATATATATATATATATATATATATATATATATATATATATATATATATATATATAGAGTTGGGTTAGTTCCATAATTATATATTTCTCTATATATCGACAGGCCATTGACACATATGACTTCTTTGCATAAACAAAAGTAGTCGGGTGGGTATTAAAAAATAAAATGAAATCTGGAAATTTCCGAAAGTTAAGAAAAATTCTAAAGAAAAATGGGCGATATATATATATATATATAGAGAGAGAGATCAGACCCGGTTAGAAAATTGATGCAACACAATCTTTCTTCTAATTGGTCGCCAGGGTTTCATTTTAAGCATAGATATGAACCAGTAAGTAGAAAGGAATAGGCGTACTAATCGATTTCATTCTAGAGAGAGAGAGAGAGAGAGAGAGAGAGAGAGAGAGAGAGAGAGAGAGAGAGGGGAGAAGTATCTGGCGCAACAGGTTTTTTTTCCCTAGCTATTTGATTGTTTTTCATACTGTGTAGACTAACTTTTACTAAGCTACATATTACACTGCATTAAATATCAATAAAAGCATATTGAGAAATGATAAAAAGTAATCCGGTGAGACTAGTAGAAAAAGAAATATACAGACGAGGAAAATACAGTGAGAAATAGTAAAAAGTAGATATGGAAAGAGTGGCAAAAAGAAGCTGCTCAAAAAAGAAATATAGAAAGGATTTGTAAAAAAAAAAAATATCGAAACCTTGGTAAAAAAATAATATATAATATAATAGAGAAGTGGTAAAAAGGAAATACTGAAAAAACGTTTAAAAGGAAATAGAGAGAAGCTGGTCAAAATAGAGTTAAACTGGTAAAAATATAGAGGGAGACTGGTAAAAAGATATATACAGATGACAGTTAAAAAAAATAATAGGGAGACTTTTAAACAAAGACTTAGGCTGGTAAAAAACATAGAGAAGTATCAAAAAAGAAATATACGCAAAATAATTATAGCGTAAACAGGTAAAAACAAACTGAAAAACGAAAGATGTTAGTAAGACCCGAAAAAAAAAAATTGCTGCGTGGAAACGCATGAAATGCCGTTCACGCGAAGGCATGTAATTGAAACGTACGTGCTTAATAAGATGGTGAACTTGCTCATCTTGAAATTTTCCGTTTGTTAATTAGTTACTAAGAGAGATTACTCAAACATCTTAGTATAAATCTTATGAAACTCTCCTGTTCTTTCTGTTAAAAATTTGTATATGTAACTAAAAGTTTTTTTCTTTTTTTTTATCTTTTCCCCAATCACGCTCTTCTCTTAAATGTTGAAGTTACGTCAGTCATTATGTTTATTATTAATAATAATAATAATAATAATATATGGTAATAATAATAGTAATAATAATAATAAGTCTCAGGTCTCTGGCTGGGACCCTGAAGGAAATGCTTATACAACCGAAATCAAAGGAAATAATAATAATAATAATAATAATAATAATAATAATAATAATAATAATAATAAGTGTGATCGTGAATGACAAAGTTAATATTTTCTGAGATATCAGCATCCAAAGGCCTCTTCATTGACATTGTTGTACTTGGTGACCATAATATCAAGGTCAAAGAGATTTACAAATATCATAGATTAGCCAAATAGATAGGCTTTTTCTATGTATAAACAAACTGATAATTCCAAGCAAATAAATATTGTTTCATGATCTGTTATATTCTGGATAAGCAGGTAGAAATGTTCAAGTTAAAATTAAATGCTCAATATAGATCTTGCAATTGTTGACATGGCTGATCCTGGAACTTGGCGGTCGGCCATTTTACAACGGTGTCGAAATATTGCTGAGTCCGTGCTTCCGGGCTGGGCGGAGTGAATTATTGTCTCGCACAAGAGTAGGCATCTCCAAGGTGAACATTAACGCTGAATTGCAAGGCGGGAAATATTATTAGTTGGCAAAGTAATTGAAATTAATCTCTTATGCTAAAGTAACTCTCGTCGATTTCGTCCCACTCAATCACTTGTAACGATGTTATATTGAACTTTTATTAGAGATTTGAGCGTCGATTCGATGGATCAGTTCGAGTCATGACTCGTCAGCGCAAAGGAAAAATCGACCGTGGTCATTAACACTAGTAGCAAGAATGTAAATATTCTTTATATTATAATGCATTAGTAGCCAATGCTAGTTCTTTGAGATCATGTGACAGTAAGTTTTACCATTCCTCCAACATTGTTCAGTACTAGCTTTACTGGATTTCCCAGTTTTGCTTAAAATCACTACCCAGCTATGGGTTAAATAACTTTGGTATCTTGGGCGCCAATCATTTTCGAAGTAGAACACAGAATTCAAAAGCATTCCACTATTCTTAAGACGTCATGGAGATTTACAGATGAGAAAGAACAAAAATCCGTGGAGATCCATGATCGCTTTTTGTCCTGAAGGGATATGGCATAAAAATGAAAGTTGCATAGCAGTTATAGAATCTGAATTTTTTTTCTTATATCAAGAATTATGAAAGCGTTTTAGTATTCACAAGAATGTTTTCCATCTTGATTTCATTTACGTATCATTATAAATACTAAGGATGTGATTCTACTGCTCTTGGGATACAGAACGGATCAGGAAGCTTGAACACTAAAGGAGTCCTAAAGTCGCGCCCTGTTTACCTCTGGAATCCTGTCGATTGTTAGTTCGCTGTTTCAGCGGCTAACTTAATAATATGTAATAGGAAGTTCTATAATTTAACTCGTTATTGAATTGTAACAATGATATTAACAATAATCATTATTTTATTACAGCCCAATTCACCATATGGCCATTGTCAGAGTGAAAGCTCAAGGTTTAATTTTAGTTATTCAATATATATATATATATATATATATATATATATATATATATATATGATACAATATGGTAATCGTATGGAATTTCTAGCGAAATTATAATAAATTAAAGAATATCAAACACTTAAAATCCATAGGTAATAATTTTTTGCCCGACAGTTAAAAAAAAATTATTACCTATGGGATTTAAATGTTTGATAATCTTTAATTAATCAATAATATATATATATATATATATATATATATATATATATATATATATATATATATATATATATATATATATATATATATATATATATATATATATATAAAAAAAATATATATATTTATATAGAGAGAGAGATAGATAGATAGATAGATAGATAGATAGATAGATAGATATAGACATATAGATATATATAAATATATATATATATATATATAGATAGATAGATAGATAGATAGATAGATATATAGACAGATGGAGTTGATTACGCGTGAGCAAACAAACAGCGACACGTTTCTGGTATAGAAGCGGTTTCCCTGACAGGGAATTGTATAATGTTTCGATTCCTGTCAAGAGGCACATTTTTAGGAGAAACTTCTCGAAATAGGCAGGTTGTTATTAATTTCACGGCTTAACAACACAACAACGCATATCCAATAAAAATAACTTTTATAGTAATAAGAAATACATATATATTTTGCACTTACGCGCAGCTAGTATTCCTACCAGATTGTACCAGTAAAATCATTATTATCTCAAAAAAATTCATACAATCTAAAAATAATTTCTGGCTTTAAATAAACTGCAAAAGGTTGAAAAGCTGTAAAAAACCAAAGAAAAAAAGAAAAACAAACAAAAAAACGAATCTATCAATTATTTTGAATTAACTGACAATTTCAATGTATCTTTCTAATTTTCGATTAAAATATTGTACATAGGATACAAAATTGGAGATGAACTATCCAAAGACCACGTGTAGTTTAGATACGAGTGGTTAGGTTGTTAACTTTCTGATCATAAGAACCAAGTTTAAATAACAGATTCGATTTGTCATAAGGATTATCATAACGACCTAGGAAGATGATCCCAACATATGGCACCATTGGAAATTGTCAGAAAACCATGTAACTGTTTAACCCAAGACTTATGTGTGGAACTGGATAGTGAAATTCCTTTGGTAAATGCTAATGGTTGAACAAAAACAAATTCATAATTCATTGTCACTGAGTTTTTGAGCATATTGGCCTTGTTCAAACTTATGATCAAGACTGATTATTCACGATCTCTCTGAAATTGTAACTATGGTCCGTTATTTAGATATTTGAAGTATAAGCATAGATTAACTATGTGAGCATATAAGAGACATAGATGTACCGTCAGGTGTAAGAAATTGCTGACCAACTTAGCCAACGTGTGTATTCGGAAACAAACGGGAAGCCGTTGCATTTTTACAAAGCAGTTTTAAAGCAAATACGAATTGTTTTTATTTAAATTTATGTAAACTTACGCATTTTTGCGCGCGCGCACACACACACGCACCATATTTACTTGTGCATAAAAATAATCG